CCAGCCCTCCCTGTCTCCCAGCTGCCCCGCCATCAGGCGACTCCAGGACCCTGCGCTCTGCCTGCGCCGGCCGACGAGCTCCCGCGGCATCGGGGCATTCCTGGGGCTTCTTCCGGTGAAGTTAGGGGGAAAGGGCGACTTTTTAATCACTTCGTTCATTCATTAGTTCGTTCATCCTTTTATTCCTTGCAAAACCAGTTACTGAGGCAGCAGAGTGAAGTGGTTCCGAGTGCAGACTCCGAAGCCTGGCTTGGTTTCCCCCTTGGCCATTTGTGACAGTGGGCAGGACAGGGGGCCTCAGCGTCCACATATGGAACATGGGATGATAACAGTATCTCCTTCAGGGGGCGGTTGGGAAAATGGAATTAAACAATGGAGGCAAAGTCTGGCGCATAGTAAACACTCCGTAAATTGCAGATATTACCGTGAGCCAGACGCTGTACTAAGATCACGGTTTTGAGAGGTGGATGGGAGGATAACATCAGTTGAGGCAGCGGTTCTCAACCTGTGGGTCGCGACCCCTTTGGCGGTCGAACGACCCTTTCACAGGGGTCGCCCAAGACCATCCTGCATATCAGATATTTACATGACGATTCAGAACAGTAGCAACATTACAGTTATGAAGTAGCAACGAAAATAATTTTATGGTTGGGTCACAACATGAGGAACTGTATTTAAAGGGCCAGAAGGTTGAGAACCACTGATAAGTACCGGTTTAAATCCAGGGATAAATGCTGTGATCGAACATGCAAAGGGCTGAGAGAATATAATGGAGGGAGATGTACAGGGGAGGTTAAGGAGGGTGGTGAGGGAAGCTGTGCTTGAGAATGAGTACAAGTCCACCAGGATGTCACGGGACTTCTGGCAGAGAAATTCCTTAAAGGGTCAGATGTGGGGATTGTGGCGTTCTCGGGAAACTGAGAAGTATGCTATGGTTAGAACTGAGAGGGTCGTTTCCCCCAGGAAGCTCCTCTGGACTTCGCGGCACCGTGTCTGCGCCTCCAGAACAGCACTTAGCACATGTTTTCATACTGAAATGTTCTTTTTATGCTTCTCTCCCTCGCCTCAGGTCAGGGATTTTGCATTGGCCTTTGTCTCCTCCCATAATGCCTGGCATTTGGTACATGTTTGTTGAACTTGAAGAGACATATGAGCAATGAATCTGGAACGCTGGGTTGCAGACAGATTTTGAATTCTGTTGAATGGTATGCCAAAGAATTCTGACTGGCTTGTTCCAATAGGCAGTGGGAAGCCATTAACCTGAGTTTTTAAAGAGTAAGTTTAGCAGCACTGGAGAACAAATTAGACACAAGGAGACACGGAGGAAGGGAGTACCAGTTAGGAGTCAACAGAAATGTCTCAGATTCTTCCCATATGTATGTCAGAAATTGAACACGTTAAGGTTACTGTTAGTACATTTCCCACCAGGACCAGTTAAAAGTTCCCGTACCTGACGCACAGAATGAGAACCGCCTCTTCCTGTTTTGTTTTGTTTTGTTTTGTTATATTTTATTGATTTTTTACAGAGAAGAAGGGAGAGGGATAGAGAGTTAGAAACATCGATGAGAGAGATCAATCAACTGCCTCTTGCGCGGCCCCCCCTGGGGATGTGCCCGCAACCAAGGTACATGCCCTTGACCGGAATCGAACCTGGGACCCCTCAGTCCGCAGGCCGACGCTCTATCCACTGAGCCAAACCGGTTCGACACCCTCTTCCTGTTTTTAACTCTACTCCCTTTTCTCCTGCTGATCCAGGACATACGTGTCAAGATACTCTGAGAAATATTTCAGGTTTCATTTAAGTAACTGGGTTTGCAGATTGTTCAGGATTGGGAATGATGGTGATTCTAGTAGTAAGTTAATGGAGTGAGATGGAAAATAGAGTCCCAGTTGCTGTAATCCAAATTCCACCTTGTGGTTCATTCAGTCCAGTAGGTATTATCATCATGTGTGATTTGATGACTGTCATGTAACAGTTGTATTTCTCTTCATTTCTGCAGGGAGAACATCTTTGGTCCTACAGTGTTGCTGACACTGACATTTTTCTAAGTGGTCTTGAACAGCCTACTTTTTATGTAAATAACGACTAGACTTCATATTTTCCACTTCAGAAACCTATAAGCTATAGCTGCCAGAGAGTTAAAAAACACTACTTTTAGGATATCATCTACATTTAACTTGAAAGCTCTTCTTATTTAAAAATGTTGAGATACTGGGGAGAGATACCAATCTCATCAAGCCAGACCAACAGAAGTTCCTTTGATTTGCTGCCTCGGGAGTTCCGCCTGGTGGAAGTCCATGACCCACCCCTGCACCAACCCTCAGCCAACAAGCCCAAGCCCCCTACGATGCTGGATATCCCCTCAGAGCCATGCAGCCTCACCATCCATACCATTCAGCTAATCCAGCACAACCGACGTCTGCGCAACCTCATTGCTACAGCTCAGGCCCAGAATCAGCAACAGACGGAAGGTGTAAAGACTGAAGAGAGCGAACCTCTTCCCTCTTGCCCTGGGTCACCTCCTCTTCCTGATGACCTCCTGCCTTTAGATTGTAAGAATCCCAATGCACCATTCCAGATTCGGCACAGTGACCCGGAAAGTGACTTTTATCGGTAAGTTAAGGGTTTACTACATCTTACTTTTCTCAAAAAATCTTTCCAACAACCGTGTTAAACATGCAATAACTTTTCCATGAGGGAACTAAGAGTCACTGACTTGGCCAAAGTTGCTCAGGTAATTAATGGGAAGTCTAAGACTTGAATCCTGATCTCCAAAATCCAACGTCTGTTTGTTTTTTTTCTGATGCAACAAACATTTATTGAGTGCAAACTATGTACCATGCACTTTACTAGGAGCAAGGTAGTATACTGTGTAAAACAGGCCAGTGTGGATTTAGCTCAGTGTCCTCAAATTGAGATGCAGAGAGTTATTCTGGCATTATTATTCTGGGATTTTTAAATTATTTATTTTGATAACATAGCTTAAGGAATAATAATATAAAAACATTCTTGATCCTTGCTACTCCATATCTGGTTGAAGACCAGCAGCATCTGCTTCACCTGGGAGCTTGTTAGAAATGCCATGTCAGGCCCCACCTAGACTCACTGAATTAGAATCTTCATTTTAGCAAATCTCCAGGAGTTTCATGCGTGTATTTAAGTTTGAGAAGTCCTGCTCCAGATACTCTGAATGACTGACTTATAACCTAGTACTACTACTAGATATCAGTGTGTATGTTTGCATTTGGTGCCAAATTACTACCTTTTTCTTTTCATTTTGAAATTTGCCAGACCTTCAGAAACATTTAAATAACAGCACAATGAACACCCAAGTACCCTTAACCTGGATCCACCAATTGTTAACATTATGCCATATTAACTTTCTCCCATATGTGTGTGTACACACAAATACATATACACAAACACTTTTTTATGCCAAATATTTTAAAGTTGCAAACATCACAGTATTTCATGTCTGAATTCTTCAACTTATCCTAAGAATAAGGAAATTTTCCTACATAATCCCAATGTTATTATTATACCAAAGTAAATGGATGCTAATTAAATGATATCATATAATAAGTCCATATTCAGATTCCACCAGTTATCCCCAAAATATCTTTTGTAGATAATTTTCCAAAATCCAGGACCTAATAAAAGATTCATGTATTGCATTTTATTTTTTAAGAGTTCAGGTCATTTGTTTTGTAGAATGTGCCACTTACTGGATTTACTAATATTTCCTCAAGATTAGATTCAGGTTAAATTTGTTTGGCAAAAGTCCATAATATTGTATATCACTTATTGCATTTGCCTATTGATGATAATAGTACCATTTTAATTGTCACAAATTAATGAGAAAAGAACAGGAATAGACATAATACGTAAAAGTTGCAGTGGGCCAAATGGAGGCCAGATGATGTCACTGTGAAGTCTTTGGAATAGTGAATGTGGGAGAAATAACTATGCAATAACATGTATGGCACATATTCTTATAGAGATGTCCAACTTAAAAACACTTGCTCTGTAGCCATCAGTGCCATTTTGAGGGCAATTTAGTTAACAAAATAATACCGTCCATCATATTAAATTGATGATGTTATTTAGAATTTTGCAGTTTGTGTCAATTTTCTAACTTTAATTATGAAGAGCTATAAACATCCAAAGTTCATCCCTAGTTTGTTTTATACATATTTAAGAAGCTGTCTAACAAAAGTAATTTGCATCAGTTATGGGAATGCCAAAAGAATTATTTTCCTTTGAAAATACATAGGTCCATATATTACTCAGGAGAAGCTATCTGTTTATTAGGCACTTCTGAGGCCTAAAGCTTTTGGCATAGATACTGGCCTGGGAAATGATGATGGAAACAGTAAATGAAAAGTTATTTGGCAGTTGGTTTTCTTATAATCCAACTATTGTGTGAATTGCAGTAGTTGCTACTGAGCAGATAACAGTAAAGTGGGTGGATAGTTCCTCCAGCACTCTTTGTACAGGAAATGGTGACATGTGCCAAGTACGGAGCAGGGAAGAATCATTTTCTGTATCCTATTTTTTATATTTTAACTAGTTATTTACTTCCTTTGTCAAGGGGAGGCAGAGGATAGATAGGAAATCTCAGGAGACAGGTACATTATTACAGGATTGTTAGAAGTTATTTTTAGGAGATCAGACAGCTTTTTGAAGTTTTTTTTTTCTTGGAGAGATTAAGATTTCTGCAGTAGTGATTAAGTGCAATTTGTTGTATTATGAAGAATATGGGATCTGGATTCAGAAGCTCCACATGACACTTATTAATAATACCCAAACAACTTTTGGCAAGTGAGCCCCTCTGAACCTGTTTCCTCACCTGCCAAATAGGAATAAGAACATGGATGCTACCCATTTCACAGCATAGGAGAGGATAAAAATGCCGTGTAAGCTGTATATGTTTTGAGTTGCTTTTATAAAATTGAGTTGCTTTCCCAGTTTTACAAATGGGCTGTTGCAGTTATATAAGAATCTCCTAACTGGGACTGTAAATTTCTGAACGGCCATATGTTGCCCAGCATGTGAGGAAACGAGCACCATTGAGCAGTGTCTGAGCTCTACTGTTAAAGTCAATCAGATCCTAACAGTATTCAAAATTGAGCAATTGGTATAAGAAGGAAACTTCCTTTTTACTAGACACCCTTTTACACTGTTTCTTATAGGTATGTATCGCCTATTCAAGCTTTATGTAATTGGAGGAGCTCAGAGATAAGACTGTGGGTTGCTTAGACACACCCCATCAAGCAGTAAAGAAAACTAGGGCCCTGACCGGTTTGGCTTAGTGGATAGAGCGTCGGCCTGCGGACTAAAGGGTCCCAGGTTCGATTCCGGTCAAGGGCATGTACCTTGGTTGCGTGCACATCCACAGT